AAAAAAAAAAGAAAATCGTAAATTTTTTGATTTTTGTAATTATACCAAAAGCAACATCAATAAAGATGATTGCAGCAACAGTAACAACAGCAATGATAACAATGCAACAGCAATAATAAAGATTGCTATGACAATAACAGTGATAACAATAACAATAATAAAAATTATTTCAATAATTTTTATTACATCATAAAATTATTGTATTGTTACTATTTGTCGAATTAATTGTACAACAAAATTACGGTTTCTTTTCTTTTCTTTTTCTTTTTTTTTTTTGTTCAATGTATAAATAAACTGATAAGTTTGTTAAACTGATATTATTTGAAATTGCGATTTATTTATCTATATTTATTACTTGGAATTGAAATATAATTTATTTACCTGAAATTGGAATCTATTTATTTTTTATTCAAATTTATTTATTTGTTTTAAAAACTCGTTAACTAACGATTAAAATTATTTGCAAAAATTATTTAGGAAATAGTCCAAAAGAAAAAAAAATTGTTTTTTATAATGCTTTCAAATGTTTATATTCGATATAGAATTAAAAAAAAAATAAGAGTGACAATTGTTTTCAAATTTCGATTTTATGCTTTCCTTTTTTTTTTTAAATTATTTATCAGTATTTCATTACCATCTTTACTTAAATTCGATCATTTGAAGAAGTTTTTCGAAATTTTTTTTTATTTCCTATTGAATTTAAAAAATTTCTCTCACCAAAGCTTTTTTTTAATACTGAAAAATTTAATTTATTTCATATAACTTTTAATTAACGATTGTAATATTCGCAGATTAAAAGTTTGTAATAATGAAAAATAAAAGGATGCAAATAAATTCAATGATATTTTATCATTTGAGCAGGAAAAAAAACAATGTTAGGACAACTTTATTACATATAAATGACATATGACAGCATTGTAATTGTAATAATTACTAAATAACTTAAATAATAATTTATCGTATCAGAGGTCTATCACTTTCGGTATTAATGAACGCAAATTCCTTTCTAGGAATAATTGTAAACAATTGCATTCTTTCATTCTATACCATGCATGATCGATTCTTTCGGAATTAATGACCGATATAAGCCGGGAATAACCGGAAACAATCGATATTTTGATCCTAGTTACAAATCTGCATGCAGGAAAAAAAAAAAGGATGAAAGAAAAAATAGAAATAATTCCATTTTAGTCATACATCACTGAATTCTTCCATTTTTTTCTTTCGGACAATTTGATTCTTAAATTTTATTTTTTGATCATAGAAGATGAATAATTGATACTTTTATTTAAGCCAGAAATGAACAATTCTTTCAGTTTTTTTTTTCCGGATAATTTAATTTTAGTCAGGGATGATGAATTTTGCATTAGCAAATATGATGATCAATACTTTTGTTTAAATCAAAAATGACTGAAAAAAAAAACAACTAATTCATTCATTTCTTTTTCCGGATAATTTAATTCCAATCGAGAATGATTGATTTTGATATGAATGATCGATATTTTTCTTTTAGCATTTCAAAAAATGATCGATTCGTTCAACATTAAATATACTAAAATCAAGGATGATAAAAAATTTTTTTTTTCATTATTGATATAAATAATCGATTCTTTTTATAAAATGATCGATTCGTTTAATTTTAAATATGCTTAAATGAATAGTTTCATTGTTTAGACATGAAAGATCATATTTTAAAATTTTGAAATGATTGATAAACATTCACATAACAATGCATGAAATATTAATATCATTAATGATTAAAATGGATGTTTTGTGTGGGAGGGAAGAATGCTTGAATTGATTATTATTTGTACAAATATATCAATCTATATGTATTTATTACTATTGAACAAAAAATTGGGCGCAAATATTGTAAATATAATGCGGGAATGACAACAGAATCCGGCTTACACTGTATATTATTCAATTCATTCTATTTGTGTATTTAATTTCGTTTACATACCTTACCTTATCTTTCATTTCTCCTCCTTTCCTTTCTTTTTTTTTCTTTTCTTTTTC